CCTTAAGGAGCTTAACAAGAGAAGTAAAATGTATACAAATACAAATGGGCTGAAGGGAAGAAAAACAAACTAAACATTATGGGTAAGAAGTAGAGCTCTTCTACTTCGACCTGAGAAAAGAGAGGGAAACCTAATTTCCCCAGTACTTATGTGATTCCTACCCCCAATCTTTTGCTTTGTCAGCCCTTATCAACTAGTTTTCAGTTCCCAAACACAGCAGGCCTCCATAACTTTGGACATTTGATTCTTTGTCACTTTTTCCTGACAACCTTTCTTCAAGACTTTTTCCCTCCTCACATATCACCTAGGTGAAGTCATTCTGTAACTTATTACAATGCAACTTAATTATTTGAATGTGGCATGTCTGCCATATTATACAATGAGTACTCCAAGAGCAAGAACTGCACTCCCATCTTATTGATTTCATATCCCTTCCCTCCCCCTCTTCACTCAATGCTTACTTCCCATCTTAGTATTTGGTACGTTAATAAGGGCTCAATAGTCCTTAAATGAACAACCAATAAATTAGTAAATACAGCATTACTGGGAAGTACAGAGAAGACAAATGTCAACAGAAATTTTTGAGCTTGGTCAACTAGGAAAATTTAGTAAAAAAGATAGGAAAAAAATAGGAAGGGAAAGCATCCTAGACAAATGAAACAACATAAAGACTCCAAGATGTAAAATTGGACAGTGTGTTCTAAAAAGGGCACAGTGCTCTTCTTCTTCTCCTTCACTTTTTTTAAGAGCACAAAGTTCTAACAGAACACCAGCACCTCACAAAAAAGGGTCTGCATTCTTCATATTTATCCCTGATCTTACCATTGACCAAAAAATACTTTAAAAAATACATAGTTATATATAATATGAAAAGTCAATGCTATTTATCTGAACTAGAGCATTACTAAAGTGCTAAAACAGAGTGAAAGTCACATTTGTACTAAGTGAGGGTTACCATCAATTCTTAGCAAAGTAATGAAGTATTGTTAGGCAGGCTAACAGTTAGCTACAGTACCTGTCCGCAATGACAACACGAGTACAGAGCCCGACACAGGGCTCGAACCCACAAACCGCAAGATCATGACCTGAGCCAAAGTCAAACACTTAACTGACTGAGCCACCCAGGCGCTCCTAAAGCTTATTCTAAATAGGGTTACTTATGGTGATTTTTTAAATAGTTCATCAAGTATTTACTCAGTGTTCAAATTTCTAATCCTCATCCCCACCATCCCCAACAGTTTGAGTCAAGATTCAGATAAGGTACACACATTGATGTGAATGCAAAATTATTTTAACTAGAAAAGGTTGAAGAGGTAGATGTAAAGACTGCAGAAGGCAACTTTTTGGTATTTTTGTATCTTTTTAAGTTAGTGGCATCCATCCTTGGTTATTTCTAATATTATTTTTTATCTCTGCATTCTCTGTCTCTCTTTACTGAGGACTGTTTTACAATTATTAGCCATAATTATAGTTGATTTATTCATAAATTGACTCAAGGAGAAAGGGAGAGTGGGTGGAAAGTGAATGTGTTTTTTTCCAGTAGTAAATGTAGTAAGAGATGCAAATGAAGAGGTAGAAAGGTACATGAAAGGTACATTTATTTAGCTTATTTGTTCCCTGAGAAGGTGAGATAGAATCCTTATTCCTTCCACCCCCTATCAATGTTTGGCCCTGCGGAGTAACATATTCCTTATGTTAGAGGCCCTCGCGGGTCCCTACAGACAAAACCTTGAAAAATGAGCCTGTTCTCACCAATGCCAGGCTGACTGTGTGAGTCCTCATCTAACACCTGCACTGAAGCAACTTTATACCAGGTCTGTTTGGAGCCCTAGGCCTGTTAGTTTTATACCCTCTATCATTTTTGGTGACCACATAAAATATAAACCCTCTGTCATCTACCTGTTCTAGTATTTTTATACTAAAACTACTCTATGCTTCTCTAGGAACCAGCATCAAACTATTGCCATTTGTCCCCTGACTTTGTATTGTATCTAAGGGGACCCCTCCCCCAATGGTAAACAAATTCGCTTTCATCTTTAATCTTGCCAGTCACAGTGTTGCCATCATCTGTGTCTTTGGTTTGATGTGGATGATCGCCCAATTGCTGAGACTTTTAGTTCTTAGACTAAGGCAGTTAGAATGACTGTCACTTCCACTCTACTTCAGCTACCTGCTCATGGCCACATTAACGGGCCATATCAGTCAGTAAAACGCTCTATGAAATCAAGTTCAAATATTCTACTTTATCACACAAACTGCCTATCCTTCTAGTTCTTTAGGTAGACTGCACTCCTACATTGTTCCAGGATTTTATTCTGCCTCCAAGTCCCTTGGACCTCCACTTGTCCTTTCACGTTTCTAACGGAGGCTGGATTCCATGGTTGGTGATCTCAAGGCCTCTTTCATCAGCATCTGAAATCTTGTCCCTCTTTTTCTGTCACAGCAGCCCAAAATTCCAGCCAGTGTTATAATCTAATTTCTTGGCACTTTTGATTCTGGACACTTAGGGCTATGGGTGAGGAAGGGCATCCAGAATGGATACATCCAGTGGTTTCTCTGGGTCCTTAGGGACCACTAATCCAAAAACAAGTAGTTTCTCTTCAGATCCATCAGTTTCTCTTAAAGGCTATTCCAAACCTTGACTGCATTTCTAAACCCTCTAACTTAACTCATTTGTTTCAATCTCAACTGATGCCTTTCCTCTCTTCTATTTTATAAAAATCATGCTCTTCTTCAACCTCTTCCTTTTCCCCCTCCATCCCTAAAAACTTACCTACTGCCATACATATGCCCTCCCCTCCCTCACAAAACAACTCTCCAAATGAGCCCTTAATTCCATTTTCTCCTCCTTTTTGGTCTTCAGATGTCTTATCTACATCTGTATTTACCCCTTTTTACTGGCATCTTTCTTTTAATTTGTAAGGATTTCAAATCACCACCATCCTTAAAATAAAGGAACTAGAAAACCTCAGCCTTATCAATGATACCAGGCTTTCTGAGTTATTTACATTAAAATAGAACTCATGTCATTCTTCAGCATAAAAAAAGGCTAGAAAATACCGCAAGACATTTCATTTTATGATCTTCACTATTCTGTCTCTAGATTTTTTTCAAATAAGTCAGGGACAACCTCTTTCACATTCCAGTGAAAACCCATCAGGAAGTATTTGTATGGTTCACCCATTTAGCTTTCTTTCTCACCTTTGTTACTGCCCTTCTCTCTCTGACCTCAACAATAAATAGTCTCTTGAATGGGATTTAGAAGCATCAAATAACAGAACACCACTGTTCCAAAATGAAACGATGGGATTTAAAACTTCAACACACGGCATTTCTTGCTCCTCCTTTCTACCTTTGTTTAGTGTCTTGCTTCATCTGTGTGAATATCTTTCTCTTCCAAAAGCATCTCCTCAAATGAACAAAGGAATTAAGAAGAAAATTTTGGAGTGGGGGTTGGTAGTAAAGATAATATAATTTAATACAATGCCTTATCAGGGATTGAAAATACACAAAATCTAGACTAATCAAAATTTTAAACATAAACTGTCAATAAAACAACAAAATGGTTATTATGTTATCTCATTTAAAATATAAATTTCATAATCCTGAGGAATATTTGGTTACAATAGTGGCTTCAAGCCATTAAGGCTACCTTTTCGGCCACAGATGATAAAGAATTATTATTTCTCTTCCATACTAGTCCTTCTTCCAGAGGGTCAAAATTCTTTTCCCTTTTTTTTTTTTTTAAAGATTATATTTTCAAGTGATCTCTACACCCAACATGGAGGTCAAACTCACAAGTGAGATTGAGAATCGCATGCTTTATTGACTAAGCCAGTCAGGCAGCCAAAATTCTTTTCATTTTTAACTGTAGATGCAAATCTGAGGAAAATTAAAGATCTGGTTTATTTATTCAAAAGTTTGTATTTTAATTATGTATTTGTCATTGCTTGGCTTAACCTTAGTAAAACAGTACTCCAACACTCTCTAAATTTTATCACATATTATTAGTAAAACATACACAGAAATATATCTCTCCTCACTGTACTATTATAAAACATATATAAAATAATATAAAGTACGAGATCAACAAATAGAAATAGAAGTTCAATTATATTTTTCCTCAAAGAATCATCTTCTATAATTGCCCCTTTGGAAAGAGCACATTACTCTGGACTATCAAAGAGGAAAACAAACAATATATTGAATGATTTGATATAATAAGCTACCTTTATATGCTGCTGATTTTTAAGAAATTCAACTGTTTAAAATACTAAGGTTTTTTTTTAAATAAAATTTTACCAGCGCTATTTATGAACAGTGTCATAAGGAGTACATACATTTGATAGTGATGAAAAGGAAGAAAAATCATATATTTCTGTTTAATTATAAACAGAGCTATGAGTTTATGGCAATTTTTGGACACTGGTGCTAGCTAAGTACTGTACTGCATTTGTCAGAGGTTCAATAAATTCTCTGACATTAGGATTTAGCTTTTAGTTCTAGTTGGAACACTGTAACACCACTAAGAGACTAAAACTCCTTTTCATTTTTACACAATAGTATTATAAGCCAAGAAAGAAAAGAGTCAAACTTAGACAAACACAGGGAACTAACTACAAAATGCCAACATACAACAGAAATGTTATACATCTTTTTGAATGTATAGTAATACTGAGTTCACAACTTTTAGTTTAGAATTCATTGAAAACAGCAGCGTGAGTAACAGACAACTACTCTCATTCCCTACATCTTTGAAAGGAATTCCAAAGGCCTAGTTTTAATTTACTACTTCCTGCCTGTGACCATAATAAGTACCAGTGCTTAGCTTTGCCAAACTCCACCTTCATTACACAGAAGCTCTTATGAATTCAAGCACGAACAAAGCAAAAGTTATTTAGTTGTGGTTTACCTCAGAACTGAAAAGCCTTAATTAAAGAAAGCCCTGTAATGAGGACAGAGTGTACCTATTATGCTTTTTAAAACCACCTTTTACTTACGTCAACAGGGACCAGAAGACTCTTGCCAAGGTGTTGATTAAAGGACAGGCACCAGGCTTCAGTGTAACCATTCATGTTAGGAACATACTTCTTTATTGTCTCATCATTCAGTCTCAGCCACACACCATCATCATTATGGATCTACAAGACATAAGCAACAACAAGCCATGCCCACCTGTAAGTCCTAGTAGGCTTGCAAGGGCTACAGGGCTACAAAGCAGGCAAATAATAGTGGACATGAAGATTAAACATCTAGTTTTTGCAAGCGGTAAGTAAAAGAGAAACTTCAAGGAAAAAGCAGCAAAGAATGCCAAGAAATGTGGTAATTCACATGGTGAGACAGTAAAAACAATGTCCCTTATGAGTAAAAGCGCAAAGAAATCACACTTTAAGATAGTTTAAAAATAAAATGTTTGTCTCTCTAAAGAACATAACTTCTTTTCTCCCCTCAATTTATGATTTAATAATCGTAAGTTTCTTGGTTGTATTACTAGAAAAATATGCTGTCCAAAGTTAAAGCAATACGATGAACACATTTAAAAACAACACTTAAAATATTTAAGAAAAGCTGTACCCATTTTCAGTGACTACTTGTACAGGTTCTACTTGTTAACTGAGCTTCTTTCATGTTAAAAATATAGTTTAGTTACTTTTTTGTTGATAAAGAAAAATAAAATGTTTGAAACCCAACGCATCTGCAAAACAACTTTCCAAATGCTATCCAAACCAATTAAAACATACTAACAGAAAATTTAGTAATATTATTATACAAACAATGCAAAAACTTTCTGTTCAAAATGTATTACCAAGTGTTTCTTTACAAATTACCTCATCAATGAAAGTGATAGTTCCATTGACTTTTACTATGCCTATCTGCTCACTCTGAAGGGAAGGGTGGCTACGGATACGGAGTCCTGCACTGTCCTTGGCCACAAATTTTCGAACCTGGGAAAGGCAAAGACAGACACTTGAGATAGAAAACCATAGAACAGAGATCTTATAAGTACTAAGAAAATTAAACAGGTTTGAAAGTATTATAATTCAGAGAAAGTTTCCAAAATTATTTGTAGTTGCTTTCTCTGTGCAAGTTAACACTGGCTTATTTATAATGAAAGAATTTTAGAAGTATTAAAACGTACATATTTATAATTTCCTTTCTAAACTTTGAAGACATATGATAAAAAAGAGAAAAGAGCAATAGTTTTCCTTTTAGAAAGGTATGATACAAATTCTATTCCTAGTGTTACCTTTTTATTTTATTTTTTTTAAATTTTTTTTTTTTTCAACGTTTATTTATTTTTGGGACAGAGAGAGACAGAGCATGAACGGGGGAGGGGCAGAGAGAGAGGGAGACACAGAATCGGAAACAGGCTCCAGGCTCTGAGCCATCAGCCCAGAGCCCGACGCGGGGCTCGAACTCACGGACCGCGAGATCGTGACCTGGCTGAAGTCGGACGCTTAACCGACTGCGCCACCCAGGCGCCCCCCTAGTGTTACCTTTTTAATAAGGAGTTTACCCCAATCCCTATATTTACTTTTTTAGATGTTGGGAAATTATTTTTTTCTTTTAACAGTATAGGATACTTTCCTTATAAACTTTATGCACTTAATTTCAGTAAACTTTTTGTTAATCGTATACTGTCAATAACAGAAAGTACACAAGGCCTATAAATTACTATGGCATTATACAAAGAAGCCTAAAGTACAGGTCCTATAATTTAGAAATGATTAGAATTATCACAAAATACTCTTCAAATTTATTTAGGGATATTTAATATTCAAAAACTGAAGTCAACTAAAATATTAGATGTTTGATGACCACCTTGAAGCATCAATGAAGAAAATTAGTAAATCACTCTCTAATCGATTCAGGTTCTAATTTTATTCTATCCTAACCTTATTTGGTTGAGGTTCAGTCTTTGGTTTGACCAGCTGAGTTCCTGGTGGTATCATCCCTTTTGGGGGGTCTTTTACTTTAACTTCTAGGCCAGCATCTGTAAGAATAGAAAGATAATTGTAACATTTGTGAATACAAGGGAGAGAGGATCCTTAAACCTAACCTTGTGTACATTCACAAATGATGTTTTTATAATTTTTTAAGCTTATTTATTTATTATTATTGACAGAGAGAGAGAGAGAGAGAGAGAGAGAGAGAGAGAGAGTAAGCACAAGCAGGGGAGGCACAGAGAGAAAGGGAGACACAGAATCTGAAGCAGGCTCCAGGTTGTCAGCTGTCAGCACAGAGCCCAATGTGGGGCTCGAACCCACAGACCATGAGATCATGACCTGAGCTGAAGTCAGACACTCAACTGACTGAGCCACCCAGGTGCCCCCAGACTATTTTTATTTAAGTTTATTTATTTTGAGACAGAGAGAGAGAAAGAGAGAGAACAGAGGAGGGGCAGAGAGAGAGGGAGAGAATCTCAAGCAGGCTCCATACCATCAACACAGAACCTGATGAGGGGCTTCATCTCAAGAACTGATCTTAAAAACCATGAGATCATAACTGAGATGAAATCAAGAGTCGGACGCTCAACTGATTGAGTCACCCAGGCGCCCCCAACAGACAATTTCAAACAAATAAAATAAGTATCAAAATACTGTCTTTTTAAGGTGATTGATATTTAAAAGGTTAAAAAAAAAACAAAAGCTAAGAAACACTCTTAACTATAGAGATCATACTGATGGTTACCAGAGGGGAGGTGGGTAGGAGTATTGGTTAAATATGTGATGGGGACTAAGGAATGCACCTGTTGTGATGAGCACTGGGTGCCGTATGGAAGTGCTCAATCACCATACTGTACACCTGAAACTAGTATTACACTGTATGTTAACTAACTGGAATTCAAATAAAAACAAAAAAAATCAACAACACAAAAACAGGTGCTGGTGAGGATGTGGAGAAAGGGAACTGTCTTACACTGTTGGTGGGAGTGCAAACTGGTGCAGCTAGGCTGGAGGAAAGTATGGAACTGCTTCAAATAGTTAAAAATTAGAACTATCCTACGATCCAACAATTGTACTACTAGGTATTTTCCCAAAGAATAAAAAAAATTCTAATTCACAGGGATACAGGCACCTCAACGTTTACAGCAGCATTATCTACAACAGCCAAATTATGGAAATGGGCCAAGTGTCCATCGATTGATAAATGGATAAAGAAGACGTGGTATACATGTATACATATACATACATACACACACAATGGAGTATTACTCAGCTCTAAAACAGAATGAAATCTTGCCATGTGCAACAGCATGGATGGAGCTAGAGAGTATTACGGAAGTAAAATAAGTCAAAGACAAATACCACATGATTTCACTCTTATGTGAAACAAATGAGCAAAGTGTAAAAAGAGAGAGAGAGGCAGCCCAAGAAACAGATTCTAACTATAGAGAACAAACTGATGTTTCTCAGAGGGGACATGGGTAGGATGGGTTAAACAGGTGATGGGGATTAAGGAGTGCACTTGTGATGAACACCGCATGTTCTCTAGATAAGTCCACCTGAAACTAAATTATACTGTGTTAGTTAATAAAACTTAAAAACTTTAAATAAAACTTAAAAAAAAAAAAAAGGAAATATTTGAAAAGGGGCCTTAACATTCCAAATGAGTCTCTCAGAAGTTCAAGGAAAAGACAAAGGGTTCCTATTCTTTATCTGGAACATATGAAATGATACTGAAAAAAATAAAAAGAAAAGAAGAAACCCTTGTGAGATTAAGTGTTATCTTACAACATCAGATCACTGCACCAGATCACCATATCAAATTACAACATCAGTACTACTTCATCATCTACACCAATCACCATTCTGACCAGCAGGCGGCACAGCACGGTGGTTAATAGCTGGGGTTCTCATGTTATACTGTCTTGGTTGTTCCCATATCTGCCGCTAACTGTCTGACTTTCTGTGCCTGTTTTCATCTATAAAACGAGAATGAGAAGAGCACCTCTCTCACTGAGGTACTGTAAGAATGAAAGAATTTAAAATATGCACACACATAAGGTGTGCATAAAACAGTGCTAGAAATATATTAACTGCTTGATAAATACTAGTTATTAATATCACTGTTACTCTAATGAATTATTATCTATCCTTGCTTATGGTCAAGCAAGTCTCAGTCTACTGAGTTTGGTCACCTTGGGGAGAGAGCTGAGTTTGTAAGGTAGGAAAGAAAATGGGTGATGCTAAGTAAATATGAATCTTTTTCTTCAGTTTCATTTCAAAAAACAAATAAAAGTGGATTTTTCTTATCTACTGTGCATCAGCTTTCTTCACCCCACCATTACTGAAGATGAAGACACTCTTGACTCCCTTCACTTTTGAATTCTTGTAATTGGTACCTCTCGCATGTCACTACTTATATTCTACTTCATCTGATTTTGTTTGCCCATTCTATCTTGCAATCATCAGTAAGTTGTTAAGCCTCAATAGGAATGGTCTTACCTAGAACAATGTTTTGCTTAGAATCAACTAAAGTTTGCCAAACTAAAAGCTTTATGGATATGTTGAAATAAAGGAGAGTGCAGCAAAGACTGAAGATAAAGGTCTCTGGAACAGTACAGGTGAATTTGATATATCTGATTCCATATAGTTACATTAATATATATTCTACACAGTTATATCAACATAACGTATCTCTTTACCTTCACTATAAAAACAAACTACTTAAACCAGAGTTCCCCAAGGGTATTTTGGTGGAATGTTAATCAGTAATTGCTTTTATCTCTACCTTGACTCCCTCTTCCTTACATGCAAAGGGTCTCAGGAAAAGGGTTAAACAAAGTTAGACAAGATTGTTAATTTCAGGGCACTTTAGAATCCCTGTTAATGTGGATTATGTGTGAACTGTATGAATATCTAAGATGAGAGTTTTAGGTTTTCTAAATCTACCTCATTATAGAAGCCCTTTTACTTTTTTTTTTTTTTTTTTTTTTTTTTTTTTTTTTAATTTAATTCTGAGAGAGAGAAAGGGAGAGAGAGTGCATGAGAGCGAGCAAGTAGGGTAGGGGCAGAGAGAGACAGAGACGGAGACAGAATCCCAAGCAGGCCCTACACTACCAGCGTGGAGCCTGATGCAGGGCTCAAACTCACAAACCGTGAGGTCATGACCTGAGCTGAAGTCAGAGGCTTAAAAGACTGAACCACCCAGGAGCCCCAGAAGCCCTTTTTCTTGAAAAACATCAGGAAAGAGTATTATAAGGAATTCACATTGATAAACATTTATTAGAGCTTTCTTGTTTTGCTGTTGTCCTATTATATGAATAGTTTAAAGAAAAGTAAATGATTAATGCTGAAAGGAAAAGAAATATACTTTTCAAAGTTAGTGGTGGATAAAGAAAATTCATCCATTCAATAAATATTTATTGAGCAGCCACTGTGTGCCAGGCACTGAACTAGATTGGGAGATACAAGGATGAATGAGATGGTTTCTGCTCTAAGCCAGGCAAGGAAGACAGACCATGAGGGGGAGATGAGGTATTCACATGGTTATAAATTTAGCATCATAAAGATCATACCTGACCAATCACATTAGAGAATGGAGGGGGGAGTCATGAGAGCTATATTGATACTATAAATTATTAGAAAATTTTGAAATGTTATGAAGGTACTAATTAAGTACTCATTGTAAATGAGGAAATGAAGCCCCAAATAAGTAATGAAAACTGTCCATATCTATGATACAAGTTAAGGAGAAAATTAGAAAGACAATTCTGTCTAGTTGTTTGCAGTAAGTAACCATAACTTAAAAAAAAAAAAAAAAAAAAAAAAAAAAAAAAAAAGAATACCTATTTCAATGCCATCAATGGTCACATGAATAGTGTAGAGTCCAATAGCCCCTGGAGTCCAATTTGCACAATAAGTGCCATCGTTATTGACACGGATCAGCATATTCTCACTGGGTCTGAAAAGAAATAAGATGGATATTGGAAAATTTACTTTTGGTTAAACAGCTGACAACATCATTAACGTAATTTCTAATGGTAGTATTTACGATGAATGTCAATCCTATTGCCCTGCGATAGTATGTTTTCCTACCCTCCAAAATGACTGAATTTCATTTTTTCTTTCTCTCCTCAAGCCTCCATCACCCTTCTTCCTTCCTCTCAGATGATCATGACCTTATCATTTTTCACTGAGAAACAGAAGCAGTTAGATACAACTCCAAAGTTGCTCTCAGATTAATAAACCTACTTTCTATTTCTCTATCTTCTCTCCTGTTATCATGCAAGAAGTGCCCTAGGTCTTGTTCGAAGCCACCCCTTCATTTGTGCTGTGAATCTCATTCCATCAACACTTCCATGCTATAATTACCTTTCTCTCTCTCACTCATCATCAATTTCTCCCACTTTCCTGAATCATTTCTATTTCCATCTCATTTCTATACAAACTTCAGAATCTTCCATCTTAAACACTACCTTAAACATCCCTTGATATATGGGACCTAATAAGGTCTCATGTCTCTTTTCCCATTTATTTCAAACTCATCTAAAGAACTGTCTACAATCACCCTCTCCATTTCCTCATTTCCAATTGTCTCCCAAAACTTATCCTGATTAGGCCTTTGTTCCCACCACTTCAATGCAACTGCTCATTGTCAGTCACCAATGACCCCAAATCTAATGGTCGTTTCTTTATCCTCAGCAATCTCTCAGTAGCATTTGACAGCTGAAATCTACTTTCTTGAAATATATTTGTTTTGCTTCCACAACATTCTCCTCACTGGCCACTGTTTCTTAGTGTTTGGCTGGCTCTCTCACTTCTGACCACCGCTTTTAACTTAAGGAATGTCCAAGGATTTGGGTCTAGTTCTTTTTTTCTTTCAATAGCATCTTTCTAGTTGATCATTCATCCAGTCCTCAGCTTTATTTTATTTTTTTTAAATTTTTTTTAACGTTTATTTATTTTTGAGACAGAGAGACAGAGCATGAACGGGGGAGGGGCAGAGAGAGAGGGAGACACAGAATCGGAAACAGGCTCCAGGCTCTGAGCCATCAGCCCAGAGCCCGACGCGGGGCTCGAACTTCCGGACCGTGAGATCGTGACCTGAGCTGAAGTCGGATGCTTAACCGACTGAGCCACCCAGGCGCCCCCAGTCCTCAGCTTTAAACACCATCTCAATATAGATGACTCTGAATTTTATTTCTCCTCTGAATTTTAAACTGAAATATCTCCACTTAGATAACCAAGAGGCATCTTGGCATCTCAACTTTAACATATCCAAAGAACTCTTATTTCTTACTCGCACAGCACCCAACAAAAGAGAGCAAAAAAACACCTGCTCATTTCGGACTCTTTGGTCTTCATAAAAATCATGATACTCTATACCAGAGATCAGTAACATTTTCTGTAATATTTTAGTCTGTTGTGCCAAACAGTCTTTGTCACACTATTTAACTCCACCACTGTAGCGTGAAAAGCAGCCAAAGACAGTATATAAGCTAATGAGTAAGGCTATTTTCTAACCTAACTTTCTTTACAAAAACAGGCCTAATACGGTCTGCAGACCAAAGTCGGACAGCTCCCATACTGCTATACTGCTATATATTCTATACTACTGCTGAAGCTGAAGAAATCTATAATCACTCTGGATCTTCTCTTTCTTTCACTTCCTATTTCCTTTCTGACAGCAAGGCTATCGGCTTCATCTTCTAAGTATATCCCAAATCCATCCACTCTTCATTTCCACTTCTAACTCCCACCCACCCCTAGTCCAAGCCACCTAACAGTGTCTAACTCATCTCTCTGTTCCCACTCCTGCTCCCCTGTAATTCATTCTCCAAAGAGTAGCCAGAATGATTTTTTAAAAACTATAAATCACAGTGTCTCATTCTCCTGCTTAAAACCCACCAAATTAATCCACACAGAAGAAAAGTGAAACTCTTTAACACAGCCTACCAGTCCCTATATAACAAGGCCATCACCTAGCTCTCTGACCTCATCCTCAACCATTTTTCTTCTTGCTCACTATTCTCCTGCTCCACTCTCCTTCTGTTCCTCAAACACATCTAGCTCTGTCCACCCTCGATTTCCTCTACCTAGAATGAACTTCCTCCAAATCTTAACATGGCCAACTACCATCCAGCTCTGCAATCAAAAACCACCTCCTCAAATAGGCCTTTGTTGTCACCCAATACTTCTGGTGCCCTGCCCCATCCCCATCACTCTCCATCAAATAAATTTACTTATTATTCCTATTTTGTTTACTTATTTATAGTTTGTTTCTCCACAGGAATATAAATGTAATAAGAACGAGTACCTTGTCTATTTTGTTCATAAAAGTATCCCAGAGCCTGTTATCAGTGCCTTTCACGAAGTGGATGCTTAACAATATTGCTGAATAAATAATTCATTGACTTAGACAGGAGACTATTTTAGTTAGGTTTAAAATGTCAAATGTATATGAAAACCTATTTATTGGCAAATGGCCAGTTTTTTCTTATTTAACATGCAGTACATCTATACAGCTCATATTTATTTTATAAAAATCACCTGCTTTCACTATATGGACATTTTGTAAGTAAAATTAAGCCAAAGACAAAATGCTACTTTCCTTTTTCTAGACCAAGATATGTTCTCAAAACTTGGCTATTTTTATAGAAAACTTTCTAGATTGTGCATTAAAACTATTTTTAATACATATTAGAATAAAGTCATAGTAACCTGTTAATTTCTTATAAGTCATGTGATATGTGATATAATAGAAACATATAAGTATTTTTTTCAGGTTCACCTTGGAGCTTTTTCTAAGTTTTATGGTACAACCTATCTAATAATTCTTTCAAGGCATCCATTTTAAAAAGTACTTCTAACAAGCAAATAAAACAGCAAGTCAAAAAATCTGCTTAAATATGGAGTTAAAATTACTCAGAGGCTGAAAAATTAAGACCTCATAACTGAAAATACAACTACAACATACACTGAAATTGCTCTGTGACTCATTAGGTGAAGGAGAGAAGAAAAAAATGGAAAAACAAACTAACCAACTCTAAACAAGCCAATATATATATTTTTAGATACTAATTATTCTTTCTGTAATACCTTACTATTATTTACCATATTGGCAGTATTAGAACTGGAGATAAATACATTCTATTTGCAAATCTACACTTTATAAAATCTGGGGTAAATCTACTGGAAATTTAAAAATGATATAAAATATCTATTATGGAAAATAAAGTTGGAATGCAGGATGATTTTAGTTGCAAGCAGTTGACAATATACATCTTGGCTATGTGTTACAAAAATGGTCCTTACCTTTTAGGAGTTGGTGATGCAAAACGCAGTTCTTCAAATGAGTAATTTTCATAAACCTTTAAGAAAGAGACCAATAAGAATCCAGGGAGGTAAATAAATCCATCAAGACCAATAACGCATTAGAAATATTCTTTAAAAAAAAAAGTTTATTGGGGCGTCTGGGTGGCTCAGTCGGTTAAGCGTCCGACTTCAGCTCAGGTCATGATTTTGCGGTCCGTGAGTTCGAGGCCCGCGTCGGGCTCTGTGCTGACAGCTCAGAGCCTGGAGCCTGTTTCCGATTCTGTGTCTCCCTCTCTCTCTGACCCTCCCCTATTCATGTTCTGTCTCTCTCTGTCTCAAAAATAAATAAACGCTAAAAAAAAATTAAAAAAAAAAGGTTTATTTATTTTGAGAGAGAGATAGAGAGAGAAAGAACATGCACATGCGCATGTGGGGGAGGGGTGGAGACAGAATCCCAAGCAGACTTTGTACTGTCAACCCAGAACCCAACACAGGGCTCAATCTCACCACTGTGAGATTATAAACTGAGCTGAAATCAAGAGTTGGACACTTAACCAACTAAGCCATCACAGGCTCCCTTCATTAGAAACATTCTTGGAGTGCCTGGGTGGCTCAGTCACTGGGCATCTGATTTAGGCCTCAGGTCATGATCTCGCGGACCGTGAGTTTGAGCCCTGGGTCCGGCTCTGTGCTGACAGCTGGAAGCCTGGAGCCTGCTTCAGATTCTGTGTCTCTCTCTGCCCCTCCCCCCTGTTGTTCTCTGTCTCTGTCTCTCTCTTTCAAAAATAAAATAAAAACATTAAAAAAAAAGAAACATTCTTATGATAGTGATAAAACATTCAATAAATGGTGCTGAGACACCTGGTTGTCCATATAGAAGAAAAAGAAAAAAATCGATTACCTGCATCACATCATTTACAAAAATAAATTCTAGGCATGTTAAAGACCTGAATGTAACAAACAAACCATCAACAAATTAAGAGGGGAAAAAAAAAAAAGATATTATCTTTTGAGTACATTAAAATTTTAGCTTTCTCCCAAACACACACTATAAATAAAGGGCAAGGATATGAGAGGACGGGAGAAGGGGATTTGTAACTGATATAACCAAAACGGGATATGAATCCATAATATACAGATTGGTGCAACTGGACCTGTAGAACAATCTGTTTCTTAATAAAAATAACAAAAGTCTGGAAGAAATTATCGTGAAATACAAAGACAAAAATGGGCTGTAGGTACCTGAAACTTGTCACATTATTCCCAGTATTTTTGTACCCCTGTAACATTGCCAAATTAACCATTATCTTTCAAGGTTCAGGTAACGTTCTGCAACGGTTCATTCACTTGTAACTTCTACTGTACTTACAGTAAAGAGAGGCACACCCACACCAGTCACAAATCTCCATCCTTCATCCCACCCTTTCTCTTTTCATAGTGTGATTTAGAAAAGATCTAGTTGCTTTCACTTACTACAAAGTTACAAATGAGAAATATGCCCTTACGGTTAGGTCCAACAGGAAAACCCAGGGTTCCAGATTCCCAGCACAATGTTTTCTGCTCTACCACTTTCCCTCAAAATACACATTATACATTTAATAATCAAAGAACAGATCATATTTCATTTCTCCATCCTCCACAATATTTGGCTGACTATTGAGTGGCACACAGTGTGTGTGAATGGCTAATAGAAGAAAATCCCTTTCTTGGAACACACACTGCTGTCTCCAAAAGACAGTGTGGGAATGATTTTCTATAAATGTTCTAACCTTAGGCGACTGAGAACAGTCTTGCAATACTGAATCTGGTTCTGGTAACTGGACTTTCAAAATAAATTATACAAACTGAATCATGTTCACAGGAAACTAAAGAAATGATTGGGAGGTAAGGGAACCAGAAAATAAATCCCTTAAATAAAAATGGAAAATGGATGAGAATGTTTATCTTTGAATTCTTTAAGTCAGTGGACAACTAACTCATCCAAGACTCCAGCTTTTTAGCTCCCTTGTTTCTTCAACCTCAACAAGCTTCACTTCAACTCTCCTTAAGCCACTCACACCAAATGTCATAGACCTGTGAGATTCCATAGAATTGTTCTCTGAATCAAAACAAAATGGCTGCTCACAGTTTCTGCCTCAGTGACCCTTAGTTTATCTATTCTTAGACTACCAGTCCTTCTCACACCAACTCCTTCTCTCTGGATCTTCCTTTCCAAACAAATTAGGTTCCACTGTCCTTTCTGTAACCACTATCTGCTGAACTCCCTTCTCTCACTATTCATTTGTGGAGCTCCCTGACAAAACTTTAATGCAGAATCAATCCAACTGATTACCTTATCCATGTTCATATGACACACACTGCATTGTTCATACATGATCTTTAGTTTCATCTGATTCTTCAAGGATGGCCGATAAATCTTTCCTTATCAGTTCTCTTTTATTCTCCACAATGACCATTTCATTTTTCCCTCTGTTTCAAAATCCTGACCCTAACATTCATCACTCCTATCTCCAACATATAATTACTATCTTAAATAATTCTTTTGGTTACATAACCTACAAATTAACTAGCATCTGTATAAATTACTTTCTCTTCCCTCTCCTGGTAAGGTGCAAGAGGCAATGCTATTTAAGGCCCACCCCTCCTCTGGAGCTCTAGACCCTATTTTCGTCTCTCTTGGACTATCTTCCTGGTTTCCTTCCTCTTGACTGTCTTCTCATCAGCATTAAAACATCTAAGCCTTTCTCTATTCATCCCAAATTCTAAAGCCTTCACTCAATTCTATTTCCTCTGTTTCTTTTTATAACCTAACATCTTGAAAGACCTGATCTATACTTGTTTGTCTTTACTTTCATTCCTCTGCATCTATAAACTCACAAACCTACCATGCCTCTAAAACTGCTCTGACGAGATCATTGATGAATTCAATGCTGCTAGATCCTTTTCAAAACTTCACTTCTGCAGCAAAACACTGTCAATTCTTCCCAAACTGCTCTTTACTTTCAAGACATGCCATAAGGTAGTTGGGGGAAGAAGTCAGGAAAATCAAACATGGATTGGGACTTACTGCCATTTGTGTGACCCTGAACAAGTTACTAAATCTCTCTCTGTGCTTCAGTTTCCACACATGTAAATGGGAACAAAAACAGTAACTTATAGGGCTGTTGTGAGGATTATATGAGTTACCGTATGGAAAGTGGTAGGAAAAGCGGCAAAAGTATACACTGGCCCTAGCTTGATGTCTTATCTCTTTGGCTAATATTCTTATCAATGTGTTTTTTTTTTCTTTTTCTTTCCTTTTTTTCCCCTTTAACCTGTCTTGTAAATCAATGTTTCTCAAAAGTGTAGGTTTTGATTTGAATCACTCTGCACATTTTGTTTAATATGAAAATTCTTGAGCTTCTCTCTAGACCTACTGAATCTAAATCTTCAGATTACTGGAAAATCTCCTTTTTAAATAAGTATTCCAGATGATTCTAATGTACCCCCCAAAATTTGAGAATCACCAATACTGGTGTTTATCCAGATCCTGTCCTGGAACTTCTCCCTTCACTCACCATGGAAGATAGATATCATTTACTTCTACGATATCATGAGTAATCAGTGCTAATTACTCTCAAGTTCTTTTCTTGAGGTCAGACTATAATCACTTTAGGTTTGCACAACCAACTTCCTTTTACATATCTTTGCATGGATATTTCAGAGTTATCCAAAACCCAGCACATTCAAAACTATTACCTTCCTCAACCAAAACCTGCTCCTCCTCCAGCATTATCAATCTTACTATGTAAGGTCAAACTGGAACTTCATCTTTTAATTCTTCCTTCCCTTTACTCCATTCCCTTCAGCCACCAAGTCCTACTGATACTAAATATCTTTTGAATCTATTCTCACTAAATCAAGGGATTAGCACATCATACCACATTACGTCAACAGTCTCCTAAAGAGACTCAAACCTAACCATGCCTTATGATTATTTGTCCAATTATTCTCCATATTCGATCATGACCTTTATGAAACACAAATCTAACCGTGACATTGCTCTAACTGAAAGGGTTCAATGGCTCACCACTGGTCTCTGTTACTGGCAAAATTCCTAACTCCTATTTTAACTAATGTACAACTTGCTAATTTAGTCTAACATTACCCCTAAAGAGAACTAAAAAAGCTGCACCAAATATTTAAAATATCTGTCTAAGGGCATCAAAGAACAAGAAAACCTCAAGTAGGAAACCCAACGAAATGAGGTTGGCATGTGAGAGAACCCAAAAATCAAAGGGGGCCTAACTAAACTGAATTCCTGAAGGGCTAAGTTCCAGGAGAAATGGAAACTGAAAGTAGACAAATACATTTGCAGCAAATGAAATTCAGTTCTCAATCATCTCAATCTCTGATTGTATTAACTTGATCTATTATCGGTAATCCCCCTAGACATTGCCAAAAAATAAATGAAAATCCTCTTTGTAAGAAAATAAATCACCCTAAAAAAAATATTACATGTTTTGCATCTACTGACAGCTCTCTAGACCTGTAACTCTGTGTGTGCGTTTGGATCATTGAAATGTTTGTTAAGGGGATAAGGGGATAAAAGAAAATGTTTCTGATAAGAAAAATAAATTACCTTCATCATTGTTATGGCAATGTATCGAGCCTCCTTCACTATCATTGGCTCGTACGACACGTCCAGCTTCGGTGAGGCCAGCCCGCCAAAAGTCATATCGGTGTTGGAAGGCGCTGCTGCTACTGCAGGACTGCCAGGCAGCCTTTGAGTTTTCTTCACTTGCTCTTGTTGTAAAGATGGTTTTTTCTGAGAAACAGGAACGGCTTTCACTTCCACCTAACCATGATGTTATAAAAAACAAATGCTATTAGTATATAATTGCCTATGACACATTAAAAGAAGCAATTTACAAGTATGGACCCACAACTCCATAAATTTTAGGTGATCATTGGTCCATGTTGGGCATTCCCTTCAAAGGTGTGCCAGAGTGACCTCGAGCTAGTTCCACAGAATGAATCTTGCAAACACAGTGTAAAAGAAGCCTTGGCTTTTGGGAGAAATCATCATAGATATAAAAATGTAAAATAAAACCAAACACCACCATTAATACAGTAAAATAGAATGAATCTACACTGAATTCTCAAATTCTTAACATTAAATTATTTATCAGCTAATTCAAGTAAAAAGGCTTTCCCACAATCGCCACATATTTCATTTATTTTTAAATGTTTATGTATTTTGATAAGAAATGTGCACACATGTGCAAGCAGGGGAGAGGCAGAGAGACAAACAGAGAGAGAGAGAGAGAAAGAGAGAGAGAATATCCCAAGCAGGCTCTGTACTGTCAGCCCAGAGTCTGATGCAGGACTCAATCTCACATACTGTGAGATCATGACCTGAGTCAAAATCAAGAGTCTGGATGCTTAACTGACTAAGCCAACCAGGTGCCCCATCTCCATATATTTTAAGCACTAATTTCAAGTTTAGCTGTTCTGCAAAGAAAATGTAGTCCATTGAGAAATCTTAAAAAATAACACATAAGAAATTTGGATCGACATAATGCCCCGGAAATATTACAAACCCATCTTGTATGTACTTTATTTTATTTTATTTTTAAATGTTTATTTATTTTTGAGAGACACAGAAGCAGAGCACAAACAGAGGAGGGACAAAGAGAGAGGGAGACAGAATCTGAAACAGACTCTAGGCTCTGAGCTCTCAGCACAGAGCCCGATACGGGGCTTGAACTCACGAACCACGCGATCATGACCTGAGCCAAAATCCGGTGCTTAACCGAATGAGCCACCCAGGTGCCCCAAACCCACCTTATATTTAAAACACATAAGTTTAAAAGTATATAGTAAAATCGTCAGCTCATATACACTGCCATCATTAAAAGTTTAAAACTTTAAATGTAATAAAAAAAAAGGGGAGGAGGAAAGATAAAAAGTAAGTGCTTTCAAACTTAAAGACATTTGATTTTTTAAATGATAGCCACTACTTTTTGACATATTTTTATTTAATCCTTCTTTAAACAACTGTATTTACCCTAAGTAAATTAGCATCAGTACATTTGCCTGTGTACTATGAACCTTGAAGTGAATCACTGAACAATTTTATACTCTAAGAGTACTGAAATACTATAGAATGACAGGTATTTTGCTTTCTGTTATAAACTACTCTATGAGTGAAAAGGATTTTGTGGATTAATGAACTCTAAACTCCAAACAACCAAATCGCTTTGTAATACATCTGGGAAAGGGTGGGGCTAGCTGGGGATTGCCTATACAAATTTTCATTCAATATAAATTTTTTTAGAAATAAAAATTTTAAATGAGATATTTACATTAATACATTAGATCACAATGGATTCATTTTCTGCATTGCAATATGCTTTAAAATGTCATTAATTAAAGTCTCAGGTAAGAGGTATCCAACTAACTATATACATTAATACAACACATGAATATTTCCATTCCTCATTCTTTTACCATCCAAATTCATGTATTTCTAATTTTTTTATTAAGTTTTAAATTCTAATTTCAGTATAGTTAATATACTGTGTTATATTAGTTTCAGACGTACAATACAGTGATTCAACAATTCTGTCCTTTACTCAGTGCTCATCACACAGTGTACTTATTCTTATTCCCCTTCACCTATTTCATGCATTCCCCCACCAATCTCCCCATTGGTAACCATCAGTTTGTTGTCTACAGTTAAGAGTCTATTTCTTGGTGTGTCTCTCTCTCTTTTCTCTGCCTTTGTTTTGATTCTTTTATTTTTTTAATATGAAATTTATTGTCAAATTGGTTTCCATACAACAGCCAGTGCTCATCCCAACAGGTGCCCTCCTCAATACCCATCACCCACCCTCCCTCCCTCCCACCCCCCCATCAAACCTCAGTTTGTTCTCAGTTTT